ACACAGATTGGAAACGAATGCTGCGTCAGCTCTCCGCTTCAAGTCATGCTTGAGTCGAATGTTAGCCCAATCGTCACGTCCAATCTGTGCCCAGTGTTGGCGGTCTCTGATGACGCCATCTCATTCAGCACTACGGCTTTGTTAACTAGAAGGTGTTGCAGCACGGCGCGGTGGAATGCAGGTATGCTCAGTTGCTACTCAGCTGTCGCCAGTTGTTCTTCGAGGTGGGTGGGCCGTGATGTGTGTGTGTGTGCAGTTAAAACGACGGATGCAGTTCACTCCACGTGTGATATAGATGCAGTTCCTTCGACAAGTGGTGTTGATGTGGATCATTCCACGAGTGGTATGGATGATCAAATCCAAGGGCGTCGACGTACTCTGACAGGCAGAGTACAAAAATGTATGAAACAAATTACAGGAAGATCCATTGAAGAATTTTTGGGAATCTGTTAGTATGACCCTTGGGAAACGGCACACATGTCCCCCTTTGGGAAACTCTAACAGTGACCCTGTAACGAGGTCAAAAAGAGGCAGAAAAATATAGAGGAAGCAAAAGAGAAAGCCAAAAACAAAAAAGAGAAGCAGCCAGAATTAAAGTTTTCAAGGGTCATGCTAACGCATTCCCAAACAATCCATTAATGGATCTTCCTGCAATTTATTTTTCACAACTTTTCGGGCCTTCTGTATGATGTTGCTAGAAGCTGTATACTTGAGTGTGTCATGTACAGCGAGCTGCAGCGTGTTCGCAGCACACCTCATTTTTTTGAAGAAGAGCTCCCTCACTTGAAAAAGCAAAAGCTCTTTCTAATTCTTCAAGGTAGGAGGCACCATCTGAGGCTCCACTGTATGCGTGCACGTCTTCCTCTTCAGACTTGAACTGGTTGAATCTTGCTGCGACCGGGTCAGCGGATTTTGCACAGAGAGCAACTGTTTTCAGCATTAGTTGCTCCATTGTCGGTCATTTTACTGTAGGCCTGCTCTGGAGAGACATACCTTGAAATTACTTGAAGAACGTCGCTTTTCAAATACTCAGCAGTGTGTCGTTCCCGTGACGAGCTCAACACATGCGTACCTAACTGTTACATTTGAGCCCCGTTGTACGACAAATGGCAATGTTGGCTGCTTGAACGCTGTTCTTGGCGACTGACTGGCAGCATAGCTGCTAGTGGTGGACGGCTCAGGAGCGCTGCTGCTCGAAGGCTTTTGTGCCAGAAGTGCATCATACACAGCCTTGTGGCATTGCTTTAAGTGGCGCCGGAGTTTGGCAGCGTGCTCTCCGGAGAGCCGCAACCCACATACTGACTGGTTCTTGTCAGTGTCGAATTTGAAATGCGTCCGCACCGGGTTCTTCTTCGGCCGCACCATCTTGAGATGAAGCCGTTGGAGCCTATACAAAAAAATTGGGGGCATCCATTTTATCGAAGCTCATTTTAGCGAATACCAGTTAGAGACTCCCGTTTATGTGCTGAGGAACTGAGGCAGAGGAGACAAGAGCGTGCAGGGACGTTGGAATGCCCAGTTCTGGTTGTTGTGATGAGTGGGTACACATAAAGCTAGCTGTCTTTGTCTCCACTGCACTTGTCAAAGGCACTACAATGCGGAATGCCAACTTCTGGCTTTCACATTCGAACACGTTATACAAGCGCAGCAGAGACAAAGGCTACCGCCTTTGCCTCCACTGCACTTGTCGAACGCGTTAGAACGGGAAATTCTGGCGTCCGCCGTTTGGCTCTCGCATTCTAACGTGTTCGACGAATGCAGTGCAGACAAAGACAGCTAGGTTTAGGTCTACCAACTAATTATTTCAATCAAAGCTCAGCGTACTGACGTCCCCATGCACTCTTGTTTCATTCTCTCCCTTAGTTTCTCATTGCGTACAATCCCTTTATAAAAAAACCCAGTTTAGAGAAAATGACGATGAGCTTTTCTTTTAGCAAATTCAGCTGCAGCGAAGCGGCGTGTACGGGTGGGCCTGGTGGGACAAAACTTTTTGTAATGAGCCTCATTTTTTCTAAACCGAGCTTCAATAAACTGTGCCCATTCTCTAAAACGTGTTTCAATGAAAGGGCGTTCGACCCACCGTAGTAAACCCCAAAAAGAGAAAAAGTGCAGAAAATTAGCTTGGGCTACCTACTAGGTTATCTCATCCACTGTGCAGCCTGGCCAAACAAGCTCACAAACTTCTTACTTATTTTAAATTCCTACACTATGTGATCTCCCAAAAATATGAATGCCATGAGAAATATATGATGTAATAAAACAATGTGGGATTTCCGCCTAACTGTTACAGCTGAGTGCAGGTAAGCACTGATTGCAGATGACCGAGTAGATCCAGGACCAGGAGTGCAGATGAGCGCCATCACATTTATTTGCGAGGTTTTTTCATTCCGAATGCCTGTCAACGGTGCGCCTCTTTTCTTTTATACTCATTTTATGGCGCAATCTCGAAGGCGGAAGCCCTGTGCGTGCGTAGTGTTTCTTCGGCAACGATTTCCTTCTTGCCACAGAGGATACGAATCACGCGGAAGGCATGCAAATATTCGTGAAAGGCCTGGAGTTTTTCACGCTAGAACGTTCTTCATCTTCCTCTGGGTCTCACGGTAGCTTCGCCAGGGTCGGATCTTGGCTCTGTGAGGCTCTTTTCTGGTTTTGTTGACCGGTGTTCCTTGCCCTCTCCCTTTCTTGCGGGGATTCCGCATGTTGGCTGCGTGAGGAATCAGGAGTCTCATAGAATTTTCCAAGTCTTTCCCGCCAGCGGGCGCGCACCAGGGCAAGAGCTTGAGAGCAGCTCGATTCAGCAAACGCCTTTTTACCGACCCCAGTTTATCGAATCGCCTCATAGAGAAGCTCAATTTAAAGAAAAGGGCGATGAGCCTTCTTTTAACGAAATCAGCCGCTGCAAAGCGGAGTGTACGGGTGGACCAGGTGGGTTAACATTTTCGTAATGAGCAGCCGCAGACTGTTGGGGGGGGGGGGGGGAGTTAACATGAGGTCTAGTGAGACACGCATAAAGTAGGAGATCCTTTTATTATTTAAACAGTGTCTCCTTTTCGATAAACGTCATTTTTCTAAACTGAGGCTCCGCTTTCTCTAAAACGAGCTTCGATAAAACGAGCCAGTTTTTTAAAACGTGTCTTGATGAAATGCCGTTCGATCAATTGTAGTAAACCCGAATTTGATGCTGCATTGTTGTTTCTGTGGTGGCTCAATGCATCATCCCGTCGACACATGGCGGCGGCTTTCTGCCGGGCGCGTGGGCATTGTGAATTTGAGCGGCTCAGGCGGATTCTGTGACAGTCAGTAACAGCTGCTATTGACCTCCGTCTTTGTAAAATATACTTACAAAAATATTTGCGTAAGTGGAAACACCTTGCCCGTCAGCACTAATTAAGCCTTTCAAAATTTCCGGTGCACAGCAGTTGAAATAGAAGCGCAAATTTGCGCCCAAATTGTTTGGCAAACCAGTTCAGAACGGTTCTTTTGTCTTGCTCTGGTTCAGGTTCAGCTCCAAAATGGCACTGAAGACTTCAGTTCGAACTCTGTCCCGAATCGGAAAAAATAAGCGTTTCAGTTCCGGTTCGGCTTCGACAGCCTGGCGAAAAGACTTCCGATTCCTGTCAACTTTGTTATAATTAGGTCCAACTGTGCCTTTTCCCTTCAAATTCCAATGACCCAATAAGAAATGTGTGAACCTGATCATTATTAAAACTAGGGCATTGATGTGCTTAGCTGCAGTGGGCCTTTAAGCAAGCCAATGTCCTAAACCATACACACACACCACTGTACGATACAAGCCAGGCAGTTTTAAAATTGGGAAGGGTGCAAAATAAAACTCCACCCATAATAAGAATGGTTACCATCGTCATAATAAATTGTGGCAATTAAGAAAAAACTTCAAGCCAAGAAAACAAACAAATCCAAAATTACGCCACCACAGCGTAACAACCTACTACTTCTAATGCATTAGCTGATTTATATCTAGGCGCAGCACTGCAGTTATGCTTTCCATGTTCCCTTTTGAATTTACAATGACTGCGAGATAGTAGGGTCCCTTTTAGCAAGGATCTTCCCAATTAATATGACAATATGTCATACAAATACAAAAACCTATTCTCCCAATATCAAAAAACAGTCAAATATGGTCAAACCATATAAAAAATTATATAAAAAGTAGTGCTGCACTTTTAGATGCTTTGCTGTAGATTATGTCAAAATTTGATAGCATTTTGAAGTGATTTTCTTTAAAGGCCATACTCAGCTGATGAAATGAAGACAAACCAAATGCTCCCTCCTTAGCCCTCGGTCATAGCAGAATGAGCCTATCCTGCTTCTCTGTACCTAGCTAAACACCGTTTTCTCTATTCTAGTGTCTTATTGGAACGACGAAGATGCTGAGCCTATGCGGGCTGCCGGATTTGTTCATTGATGCCTTCTTCAGCCTGCTCCTTTCTTCCGCGAGGCACTCTGTAATCGGAGCACTTCCATCAAGTGTATTACTTTTATCATAGACCCCTTTCGAAAGTGTGTCTTTTATTGGAAGGTGTGGAATCCTTGCACAATGAAAGACACAAGCGCCAATTTCTTGCGTCTGATCGCTTTCTAGCCGCGCGAGCCCTCGCACAGGGGGAGCAAAAACCCAAGCTACCTGCTTGGGCTACTTGCACCTTCCACGGCGTTTGTTGGCAAAAGAAATGTTATTGCATTTAATTTAAGAATCATCGTTCCATAAATCTTGGTGTCCTGGTTTGGACTTCTTTTGGGGGACGCTCGTAATTTTGTTCTTTCTTCTTAAAAGATCTTTCTTCTGCGCATGTGCATTTGTTTCATGTTACAATCCAAATTTTTCTGGGGGTAGGGCGGAGGGGGGGGGGGGGCTGCGGGCGATTGCAGTTAATAAAAATATACTCAATGAAGTGGTTAAAATCCAGGCTCTTCAACAAGCTTGCTTAAAGACCACCCACACGATTTCATGTCACAAATTCCAAGGGGCAATGACTTACCAAGTCTGAGATATGAAGCCGCCTTTTCGTCCAGCTTCACAGTGGGGTCTTGTTCGCTAGAAAGCTGCTTCCTCCAAAGTTTGTACCAGTGGTACACCACGTTTGGGTTGGGATTGAGGGCGTTACTGGCTAGCCGCTCCAACGCGTTGTCTTCAGCAGAAAGCTTCTCTCTGTGGAGTGCCACGGCTTTGGCCACGGTCAAGCCGTCTCGGAAATAGCCGAGGAAGAGCGCGCGAGTGTCCGGCGTACTCCTGAGAAGTCGCTTCGCCTCAGCATCGTCGAGGCTGTGATTGTGATGCTGGCCGAGCTTGACCACTGCTGCCAGCGGGGTCGCCCGCTTGAGGAAGGGGTCATGTCTCTTGGTGTCACGGCTAACTTTCTTCACCTTGATGTCCACAAATGCCGGGCAGCCAGTCGAATGGCGACCGGTGGTCTTATGACGACTGCTGCGGTGGCACACCCACTTCTGGTGGAACACCATCCTGCAAAAAGACCACAAAATCTTTTCTTTTTGATTTTCCAATGTTTGAAGGACCCTAACTGAATAAAGTTGGCTCCTGGTGATCTCACACTCCGTAATCAAACATTGCCACTTTATGGCTATGCCTTCTAGGCACTAACTTTTCTTTGCCCAATTATGAACAATTGCTGCCACATGGGCCTTTATGGCATCAACTTTACTAACAAAAGATGAATGCATAAAAGATGAAGTTTGTCTGTTTCGTCAAAGTTTTCAAAAGTGGGTTGCTAACTTCCGAAGGAATGGAACACTCAATAATGCAAGGAGTGAAGCAATTCAATAGAATGTAACTTTGTCCATAGAAAGAGAATATGCATCGCCCATGTGTTAGAATTGGTCTTGGATGACGCAATGTGGGAAATGCTTCTCAGAGACTAAACTCGTAACAAAACACAGTCGGCTCTCGCTTGTGCATTCGTGAGTGTAACAAATAGGCTGCATAAGAATATCAATGTGCCTTTCTGCAACCGATGCTTTCAGCCTTCCAAGTCAGTTCGGGCAAAATACCAGCATGGCAATGGAAACTTTCAGCTGTTTACACTTGGTAATAAAGGCCTTGAGGATTGCATTATCCATGAGCCACGTTTCCACAAAGTGCAGGTATTTCATGACCTGCAATGTCAGAGTCACTAGCAACACATCATGATTTATCTCAAGTAGTAGTTTCGGAAAAAATAATACATGGTGACGCATGCTTCGAATTTGAATTCCGAGAGGCAGATTTCACCGTATGCTGAGCACACAATTTCTTTAAATCTTTCCCCTGCTAATATACGGAAAAAATTTTGTTTGAGAAAATGTTCCAAAAGCCAGGAAAATTCATGATTAAAAAATTGAATCTGACAGCACACAAAGGAACTTACAAAGAAGCAATGTTTTGCAAACCTATATGGGTAACATGACTTTTGATTGGTCTAGTTGGTTCATATTAAACATGATTAAAATAGCGCAAACTAGACAGGAACGAAAAAAGGCGCACGTACGACAGGACTGGCGCTGACTTTCAACTAAGTTTACTGCATCATCCAACCAAGCAATATACACCATCACCTGCCAACATAAAAAACACAAAAATAGTTATACTTTAAGATTACATGTCCACCACGTGCCTATCTCCAGATAAAATTATCAAGAAAAGACAATTCTTAGTCAATGAGACACACCGACAGCATGCGCTGACGCACATGTCTCCCGCTTTTTTGATAAAAAATGCCCCTATAATTTCCCTCTCTGTCTTGTCCTTTTCTCTTTTCAGTAACTTGGTCAATTTCAAAAACGGTTCACACCCACAGCATTGCTCAGTGTTATCATCAGCACCACATGTTTTCATCAGCATCTAAGTGTTATCAGCATCAAGTGTTGCACTAAGCAACATTTGTGCTGGATATACAACCTACGATCCAAAAAACATCTTTTGTCATTTGTCCGCTCCAAGTTTATAAAAAGAGGAATAGCCACAAATTGCTTACTGGCCCTCACAAAAAGTTGTGAGCACAAAATGTCAACAGGCTTCTATCTTCAGCTTAGGAAGTTAAAATCCATGGGGTCCCTAACATGCTACCATCAAGTGTTTGCATGACCCTATAACAGAAACTTAAAGGATCACAGAATAAAAACATACTCTAGAACAGATCAACAAAAAAAGAAATCAAATTGTGCCTTATATGCACAAGGTATTTTATAACTTAAAGAAGATAGCCGGTAGGCTTGATGTTAATCTCCTTTTTCCAGCTCCTTGCAAGCTTGGTAAGATTTGTTCAATGCTTAATGGGCATAAAAGAGCTCAATGCACAAAAAAAAAACATGCAATCACATACACTAACTGCACAAGTGGGGTTGTTTACGATATTCCTTTTAGCTGTGGCTGCATTTACATTGGACAAATGGGTCGGTGTTTCAATGAGAGCGCATTCGAGAATACTCTTTCAATACAAAGCAATTCGGGTGGTCATCTTGTTGAGCATGTTAAACAATGTGGGTGTAAACCGCTTTTGAAATTTACCAAGTTCCTGAAGAGAGCAAAGGACAAGACAGAGAGGGAAATAACAGACGCGTTATCAAAAAAGCTAGAGACAAGTGTGTCAGCATGCCATTGGTATGTCATATTGACAAAGAATCATCTTTTCTTGATGGTTTTATCTAAAGGCAGGTTCATGGTAGAAATCTTAATCTATAACCTTTTTTGTGTTTTTTATGTCCGCAGGCGATGGTATATAGTGCTCGGTTGGATGATGAAATAACTTAGTTGAAAGCAGGGGTGTAGCCGTGGAGTGGGGGGGGAGGGGGGGGGGGGGTTTATGGGGCTTCAGTTTCCCCACCTAACCCTCTTCACACCCCAAGTCATGGAAATCCCAGCCCCCTCAGCCCTCAGCCCCCCCCCCCCCCCCCCCCTCCAAAAAGAATTCCCGGCTGCGCCACTGGTTGGAAGTCAGCGCCAGTCCTGTTGTATACGAGCCTTTTTTCGGCCCTGTCCAGTTCGCGCTAGTTCAATAAAAAGCTAGATTAACTAAATGGCTTTAACTGAATGGCAGTAACTGTATGCCGGTAACTGAATGGAAGAGCCAGAGCATTGCCTTTCTTTTCTTTTTTCCGGTAACTGGATGGAAGAGCCAGATTCGTGGAAATGGAGCATGCTGGTTAAGTTACAATGTTAGAAGAGAATAACATAGAGGACGAAAACCGGACGATACATTTCTCCAACTGGCAGCGTACATTTATTTTGAGATCCGTCACCAGACGCGACAGTCACCGCACAGATTTGGAAGGGTTGAGGAGGATAGGGAAGGAAGGGAGGGTGGGGGGTGGAGAAAGGGTGGAGGTGGAGAGCACTAGTGGAGCATGAGGGAAAGGTCTTCGCTCAGAAGAATGGGGTTTGCATCAGCTCGTGCCTGGCCCCCATGTTGAGTGAGATCTACCTGTCCTTCGTGGATAGGCGGGTTTTCTAAGCCCTTGGAGTTCTTGCCCAGATCACATCCGTCTTCCAATATGTAGACGACTTCCTTATTGTTCACCAACCCACCTCAGATCCTAAAGCTATAGCACAGATATTCCCAGATAATTCGTCCGGCCTAAAATTTACCAGCGAGGCCCCTACACAGGACGAACTGCAGTCCTTAGATCTTCGCCTGCATGCCTCAGATTCCGGTATTTGCTGGTCTCCAGCAAAGATTATGCAAACTAGTGCTTCCCTTCCACAGTAACCATTCAAAAACGTCAAAAGCGGAATCGTTCAAAGCCTCCTGACCTTATCTTCAATTGAAATCATGCCCCCACCTGGTCTCAACAAGCTGCTCCCTACAGCTCACCCGCCTTATCAAGGCAAGCTACCCAAAAGACTTACTCGAGACCCGATTAAATTGCATTATGACAGCTCAGTCCACCAGCACACAACAGGGCAGGTCACGCGCATCCCGCTTTGCATGCGTTTTATACGTGCACAATGTTTCCCACAGAATCAAATCGTTAGCACTCTGACATGGCACGTAGGTGTTCTTTTCATGTCGCCTCAGGTTCTCCTCGCTCTGCAAGAAGGTTAAAAAACCAACTGCCCCAAAGGCATGCCCCAAGAAACATGCTACCAAGTTTGTTCCTTGTAGACAGGCCAGCAACTACTTGATCCCGCTCAAGTGTGAATCGCGATACATCGGTCAGGCAGGCCGTTGTCTAAACGACTGCCTGAAGGAGCACACCAACGAAGTAAAACAGGCGGCTTCCAACCCATTCCTCCATAGCCTCCATTCAAAAGCCCAGCACATCGGCTCCTGCCAGTCCTGCGAGCCAGAGTTTTCAGCCACTGCCACTGTTGGAACACATAGGCTGAGATACGGCCGCGAGATTATCGAAGCCTTCGCCGTGTGCCATTCGCAGCAAAACATTGGGTCCCCATCGCTTTGTCTATCCGATGCCGACGTGTCCTTTCTGTGCCAGAAATGCGACAAACGTAGGCGCCTTTAAAGTAAGGTCGCCCACATTTTAATCTCTCCTGAAGGTTACTTCTCTTACTATGCTCCCCCCCCCCCCCCCTCCCCCTCTTTGGCTTTGGGGTGCACCACCGGCTCAAAGACATGTTCCTCTTTCTTTCCACCTCCGCCCCCTCTCCACCCCCACCCTCCCTTCCTTCCCTATCCTCCTCAACCCTTCCAACTCTGCGCGGTGACTGTCGCATCTGGTAACGGATGTCAAAATAATGGCCAATGTGTCTGGGCCCGCATCGCACCGGTGCAGTGCGGTTCGTGGTACACAGAAGGCTAGAGGGGAGATCCTTCTCTCCCCGCCAGTCTTTCGTGTACTAAAGTGGAAAGAGTTTACTGCACTGAACGGGTGCGGTGCGGGCCCAGACGAATTGGCCATAAAAGTATGCTGCCAGTTGGAGAAACGTATCATCCGATTTTCGTCCTCTGTTATTCCCCTCTAACACCGTAAGAGTCAGAACATTGCCTTTCTTTTCCTTTTGCTGTTAACTCCTCATTGGTGGGAAAGGGGTATCATGCACAAAGATGATCCAAAGCCCTTTGGCAAAGCAGCCTTGCAGGTCACAAGTTTTGGGTGAAATATACTTTTCACTTGGCATTAGCAAAATATAGATCTTTCACTGAAGTCTGAAAAGTATGTGAGCCAGTTAGATAGTGTAAATGCATTCTTTTTATAATGTCAGCACCGTTTTAAAGTGGCTATGGACAATCAAAGAACAACACAGTGCTAATGCACGCTTCCTAAAAAGAGTGTTACTGCCGGCACACCGCCGTGCCAAGATTGATCAAGGTCACATGCCACACGTCGCTGCATCTCTCACAAAAAGCAATAGACACTTCGTGCGATACTTTCATCAAAATGGGAGACCATTGTCATAATTTGAAACCAGTCTCCGGTTTCGCCTGTCTCGACAGACGAAAAAAAAAGAAATACATTACAGGTCTCAAACCCACCTCACTGAATTTAATAGGCACAACCGGTTACATACACCACCCTCCTATACAACCCTCCCTGACAGCGTATGTTTGTGCAACCTTCCCCCATGAAACTGCATTGCCGAGCCCTCACCCAACTACACAAGCAAGGCCCCTCCATACAATGGCAGTTTCAAGGGCATAGCACACATTGGCTGACAATGCAAACAAACTCCAGATGATATACACATCTAAAACCAAAGATAAACAATCTTTTCCCCTCCCTTCCCTTCCATTACAAAAGCCAAAACGTCTGAGTTGCCAAATCTAGTGTGAGCAAAGGTTGGCTAAAACAATCCACCATTTTCGAAAGAACTGGTGCCACCTGTCAAAAATAGGGCTCAAGGATTTCTAAGATGAAACGATCAGTACCCTTAGAAGGGAGAGCGAAGAAGCTTTGAATGAACTTAGGTGCAAAAGATAAGGCAGTATGGGCAGAAAAGGAACTCTGGGGGAGATTAGTCTAGGTCAGTGCAGCCAAATGGAGCCAACAGGATCTACCTTTTTTGCCCAGCAGTGTGTCCGCACTTGATTGGACACACCCATACCTTCCGAACTTTCAATTTTCAACAATGGTCAATACCACTGCCCACAGGTGTACGATTCTGATTGTCTCCTCTAGAAACCCAAGCAGGCAAACAATTACTGCACTCTTCGGCATGTTTTGCTACTTCAGAGTTTGGAGATTCATTCTTAACTGCCCTCATACGTTCAAGTAAGCTTTCATTAAGCAATGTTTTATTAGCCCGACATAGGAGAACCGGCAGGCCATTGGAATGTCATGACAAAACATTAACCTCAAATTCTACGGGGATTTCCTTGTGCCGTTTCTGACAATCTTGTCAACCACCCGAAACTGGCGTTACCCAGTCAAAAGTGAAGACAACAATCTCCCTGAACCTACCACGAGCAATTGCCATCAAATTGTGCGAAAAATAGTGAAAAAACACAATGCATGCCACCTTGTCTTGTTTATTCCTTTTTTTTTGCTTTGCCACCAAACTGACATCCACTCCCCTGCTTACATAGGTACACTGTCTCGAAGCAACATTTTGCTCTACAAGTGGAGAGTGCGGTTACTCTAAGCAGTGGCGTCGGAACAGGCTGTCACTTTGACCCCACCCGCAGCCCCCAACATTTCTAGACTCCATTTCACCTTATGATGAACCACAGCAGACATTCCAAGCCATTCCAGCGTTGTAAACATTTCACGTGACCTGCACTCTGCTGTTCCCCTCCTGAAGGCTGTGTGACACTCATATGGCATTGGATAGGCTTTGATGGCTCATGGCATTATCTGCAGTCCATTGCAAGGTGAAACAGAGTACAGTCAACAATCCACCATCTTCTGAATTTCCAGTTTGAGTTTCTCAGGGTGAAGTTGTGTCGGCATGGTACAAGCAAGAGCGAACATTCTCTTTCGAGCAACAAAACTAGGTCCAATTGGCTCCATTTGGCTCCATTGGTCCCATTGGCTCAACTAGGTGGTGAACTAGGTCGAGCCCCCTAAACATAGTTATAGGTGGTATTCACTGGCGGCCATAGCTGGGTTTGCTGCTGCCGAGCCTATAACGGCGGCAAGCTTCCACAACGCTTCAAATACGACGCATACTGCGCACCATCAAGATTGTCTTTTCTGGGAGACCATAAATAAGAACTGATCCCGAGCATGCGCTGTGAGCATTCAACTCAAATATGGCGTCCAGTGAATACCACCTTTTGTGCTCTATGTGGCTCCTACCCTAGTCTCCGACAGGGGGCACCAGTTTTTCTGAAAGCGGTTGATTTAAGAGGAAACTATGCCTCCCTACTCCCGTCGCCTCCTCATCCCCCGAACATTTCCAAAACTAATGGGTCAGGCTGCTAAGGCCCCTTGGTGTCAGAAAAGCAAGAGGGGGGCCGACCACTCGACTGGCCCCTCTCGCCTCATTCGTGTAAAAGTGTTACAACCTAATCATAGTCTTCCCGCTATTTTTTGTTTTCGGACCCGGTATTCGGACAAATTAGAGGTTATAATTTCGTTGCTGCTCGGTGCCTGGGGGGCACACATATGTTAATTCTACCAGACACTCCAAGATGTCGCAGGCTTGTACAAAATATGGCGGAGCCTCTTCCGCAAGCGGGGCTTGGGCCGCCGGTGTAGCCACCGCGAAGCGGCGTGTACGGACGGGCCAGGTGGGTTAACATTTTCGTGGGGGTTAAAACGTGGGGTGAGGTGAGGTGAGGTGAGGTGAGGTGAGGTGAGGTGAGGTGAGGTGAGGTGGGGTGAGGTGGGGTGGGAGGGCGGGCGGGGGGGAAGTTAAAACGTGCTTTACTGATACATGCTGCAACGTAGGAGGCTCCGCCACATTTCGCAAGGGCCTGCGACATTAATACCGCTCCACAAACGTCGTTTTTGATCCTAAAGTTTGGAAAAGGGAAGCTTTCTTTTCTCTCGTATTGACCAGCGAAAAGTCGGTTGTGCATACCGCCGCGCATTGGCAGATCTCCAGTCGACGATCCACGATGTGTTTGTAGAATTACTGTAGCTGGCAAGCCACTCGTGAGCGTCTCCATCGGTGCTCAGGTTAACGCGAAGGACAGACACGTTTTCCGTGCTGTGCTCATGGTCCGCCTCACATTCAAAAGGCGTCGAGCCCGCCATAGCCGAGAGGAAAACAACTGAGAACTACCTCGCTGCTGAGAACACAAAGTAGCTAAAAACTCGTAATAGGCGGTAGCTTGCGCCGCCTTGCCGCAATGTAATTAATGACCTTGGTTGTTTTTTTTTCAGAGAGGATTCTTACCGCAGCGGACGCTGCGAGCCATCGAAGCCATAAAGACAGACGAAAACATATCGAGGGGCTTTATCGAAGCCAATCCCATGCCGTGTGCATCACACGTGACTTATGGAAGGTGGACAGCGCGTGCGGGGAGATTAGTGCTTATAGCGAGTTCGTTTCACACGCACTGGCACCGTTCGAGTTCTCTCCCAGAATGCATCGCACTCACAGAGTGTTGCACGGAAAACTGGACTCAAACTAGGCCACCATACTCAAACGAACTCGCCAAATGCACCGAGTGCATGGATGGATGGATGGATGAATACGGCTGAGCCCTTTGGATCGGGCGGTAGCTTACGCCACCTAGCCATTTTGTTTTACCATTTAAGCTTAGAATATTTAAATGTGAAATCTATATTCACTCCGCAGTGCAAAGAAAGTGAGGCTATGAAACCCCCTTGCCATCAGTGGATAAGAAAATACCTAGTTTTCTCTCGATTTCTGCCACCATTCACTTAATCTTTGCTTGGTAATCTCTAGTCTTAAAATCCACTCTCCCTTCGCTGTCTCTAAAACCCAATGACTTTATTAAATCTATGTTGTCTTCGGTAGGCATAGGGTGAAGCCCTTTACAGTAGAGTATCAAGTGCTCAGCCGTCTCGTCCTCCTCTCCACAAGCAGTGCACACTGTATCAATTTCCTGGTACTTCACTCTGTATGTTCTGGTTCGCAGAACACCCGTTCTTGCCTCAAACAGCAATGAGCTTCCCCTAGAATTGTCATAAATGCTTTCTTTGGCAATAACTCTTTTGTTTAATCTATAGCTTTCCAGAGCCGTCTTTGTCTGCATTCCCTCTAGCCACCAATCTCTTTCTGTGGCCTTAACTTTCTTCTTAACTGAGACTTGCTCTTCCGTATCTTCGCTATAGCCCAAAAACTTTCCTCTTAATTTCCTAGTGCGCTGTCTCCACTTTGTGTCTACACTCCTCATGTATAAATAGCTGAAAACCTTTCGTGCCCATTGCTCCCAGTCCATTTGCCTCAACCTATCCTCAAATTCTACCTTGCTCACCGCTTCCCTGCTCTCAAATGATGCCCATCCCATGTCTCCTTGTACTCCCCGGTTTGGCGTTTTGCAATGTGCCCCCAAAGCCAGTCTACCTACTCCGCGCTGTTTTATTTCTAGTCTCGCATGCACTTCGGATTTCATGCATAGCACTGCGTTTCCAAAAGTCAAGCCAGGCACCATGACCCCTTTCCAAATCTCTCTCACCACCTCATACCTGTTGTAATTCCAAAGTGCTCTATTTTTCATTACAGCTGCATTTCTGTTGCCCTTACCTATTAAATACTTTTCATGGTCTCTGAGATATTCTGCACCATCACATATCCATACTCCTAGATACTTGTATTTACTAGCTCTCTCAACTGTAATATTCTGTATCTTCAGCCTCTCAACTTCATCCTCGTTAAAAATCATGACTGCCGATTTTTCGCTACTGAATTCTAAACCTAATTCCTCTTCTTCTCTACCACAGATGCTCATTAATTCCTGCAACTCTGTCCTGTTGTTAGCCATTAGTACAATATCATCCGCATACATCAATCCCGGTAAGGATTGCTGAATTTTTTGGCCTAGCTTACTGTAAGAAAGGTTGAACCCAAGCCCACTCTTCTCCAGTCTATCCTCCAATCCTCTCAGATACAACATAAACAGCAAAGGCGATAACGGGCACCCCTGCCTAAGGCCTCGTCTTATCTCTATTTTCCCTGTCGCCTTTCCTTCCCATGTTATAATCACCTTGTTATCTTTGTAAATGTTCCTTAATAGTGCTGTTAGTCCTTCATCTAGGTTTAAGTTCTCCATTATGTCCCACAGGTTTCTTTGGTTCACATTGTCATAGGCACCCTTGATATCCAGAAATGCCAGCCAGAGCTGTCTGTTTTCTTTTTGCGCTATTTCTATTAGCCCCGAGAAGTTCGCCTGGCGCCCCCTTACGGCGAACCGGGGTGACGTCACGGCGAGGAGAGAATTTTTCCCCGACTCGCCCCGCTCGCCCTGTGGAGGCTGTGACGACGCTAGCTGTCGGCGCGCTCGTTTCTATTTAATTTTTTTTCGGCGTGTTTTTCGTAGGAAGTGTAAATTTTTATATATGCCTTTATTGAGGTATGGCCTGTAGCTACAGGCGAAACTTCAACGAACATTTTAAGCATGGCTGACAGGCCAGGCAATGCATGAACCACAGCTGGTATGTGAAAATAAAGGAATATGGCCACAATTGCAGGGGCATCACTACAGATTTACATCTCGCACAATGAACGCTGCTGATGGTCCGAATGAATGGGCAAATTATGTAGACTATTTTTTTTTTTTTGTATCTCTGTCTTTAAACAAGATCGCCGAAGCAGAAAAGCTGCATGCTGCTCGAGCAACGTGCTAAATACAGTCTCGGCCATGGGGAGAGAATCACAAGTGCAGGGGCAAAGTAAAAAAACAAACAAGGAACATTTATATATACATTGCTCGCACTTGACCTTTGCTGGATTCGGATAGTATTTCAATGGACTACACGGGTGGTATCTGTGGACTTGTTTATATCAATCCTGAAGTAATATATAACAAACGTAAGTTAAGTAGTCTAGCTCGTTATTAGACCATTAAGCCCTAAAATTGAGATGTTACTTAAATCGAATTGTCCTGAAGCTAAAGTACCAGAAGCTTTTCTCACGCAGACTGTCGCCCTTCACAGGTTCCACATTTTCTGCTACCAGTGCTGCATCTACCACTGGACAGACGTTCGAATGCTTGCTTTTACTCCTGTATTCCTCTGTTGTCAGAGAGTCCAGTTGCAGGGAGTTTGGAGGCTGAGGAAGCTTTTGGGGACCTGCGGCAGTGACTCTTAAATGGAAATGACAATTCAGACTAAACGGTGTATTTTCCGAATACCAAAGGCTGGAATAAAGAATGTCAGGAAAAAGTATAAACATTCCAAATTCCGGCACTATTGCTGTGCATATTTTGGGCAGTTTACTACATACCATAGAGGCAACTGGGGGAAATTCGGCCGTTTTTGCTGCTACCATACAAGCTAATTTCCAGTAATTGTGAATCCTCTAAGAAATATGCCTGCATGCGCGTATAAACTATATAATTAATTCAGGAAGAAACTACATTTATGTAAAACAACCCTGTTCCATGAGCACTTCAAAGATCATCAGACGCAGGGCCTTTAAAACATCTGCGAACCAGCGCATGGAGAGTGGCAGCGCAGAGTCGGGGTCGCGAGCTAATTTGCCGACCACCGAAAGGCCCATGATATAAAGGCCGCTTCAGATGCCTTGAAAGCGGGATGAAATATCGTCCTAAATCATGAACTTGCAAGGAACAGAATTCCAGCGTCTGAAACACTTGCGTCACCGCTTCACCGACCCCTCTCAAGATTGCCTCGCGTCGTGTGGACGGACGGGGAGGTTCATCGGCGTAATTGCCTCCGCCGATAGTTTTCGGGATTTGTAACCCTATTTTAAAGCTAAAAAGGACAAGCAGGCTTCTAAAATGTACGGAAGCACGTTAATATCGGCCTAACTCAACGTCTTGTACACCGGGTAAACGAAGTCCGGCTCCTCGAAGAGCTTGGAGCACACAACGCCAAACCAGGGAACCGGTGCTGGGAAGCGACCCGATGCGAGATCGCGGAGCGGGGTACTCGCCCTGACGTCACGGTACACCTCACCCAATCAGGGCGCGGCGACCGCAGCGACGCTTGTGTTCGCTCTCGGGGCTAATACACTGTGTTAGAGAAAATAAATTGTCCTCCAACCTTCTTTGTTTTCGAAACCCGTTCTGTAATTCGCCCAGTATGCCCTCGCAATCTACCCATTCCTCCAGTCTGTTCTTTATAATCTGCATTACCAACCTGTAAATAACCCAACGAGGTAGAGGGGCTTAGAGCGATAAACCGGGGTTCCGGTCTGCACTCGAAAGTGACCCCCATAAGGAGGCTGCCATTGTACGCAAATTTGACCACACGTCACATGACCAAACCAAATACGTGACGTCACAGGAAACATGGCAGCGCCCATGCAGCGGCTGGCCCCAGCTGGGCCGGAGCTTGCCGGATGCTTTGTTGGTTGTCGTTCGTCTCGGCGAGTTGATTTCAGACGCGGAAGCCGTCATATGAGGTTGGTCGACAGCGAGTTCAGAGTTCAGCGTGGTGTTTGACGTAGGTATAACGTGAAAATACGGAGAAACGGTGTGCATTTCGCTGGTGACCGACCGGGATATTGCCACGGAAGAGACAATCTGACCTACGTTGCTCGGACCTCGGATTGATTCGGATACCGCTAGGATAAAATTTAAGGCGACGTTTCTGTGCTCTCGTTGACCATCGGAATCTTCGAGGTTTGCTGTGAAGCGTGTGCAATATATTTGGATACACAGTTTAGCGACGGAAATTGCCTGAGTCGTGCTTGGCGGTGTGCAATCGCGGTGCAGCTTCGATCAAATGACCGAGGGCTCACTTCGGTTGTGCGGCGCACCGGAAGACTGCCTTGAAGCTGGTAGTTCCCGTGCCGTGCTGAATGATGCTGTGCTGCTTACAAATTGTTCCGGCGTAGAAGTGCACTTTCACGGAGCACAGGTGTGCGGCGCACCGAAGAGCTGCCTTCAAGCTGGTAGTTCCTGTGCCATGCTTTAGGTGATGCTGTGCTGCTTCCGAAATTGTTCCGGCGTAGACGTGCACTTTCACGGAGCACAGGTGTTGCAGTTGGTATTGATCCCGGTGGTCTGTCGCACGTTTCGTCAACACAAACGTTTCATCCACACTCGTTACGCGAATTGCAAGCTGTCCGGACATTTCACCGAGCGTGTTACGTACCCAGCTCACGCCGCTTTGTGGCAACAGTCTGCAGTGG